TTCAATGGAGCATCTCTTAGTTCACTTGCCTTATGAGGCTAAAGTTGCAGGTCCCGTCCAATTTCGATGGATGTATCCATTTGAGAGGTAAATTTTTTTTAATAAATTCCAAATTACTTTATTGTATATTATGTTCTGATAAACTTCTTTTTATTGCAACTAGGTTTTTATATCATTTGAAGAAAAAAGTGAAGAATAAGGCATGTGTTGAAGCTTCAATTTGTAATGCATATATTGTGGAAGAAGTGACAACATTTGCATCATACTATTTTGAGCCACACGTGCAGTGCAAGAGGCGGAGAACATGAAGAAATGATGAAGGCCCCATTGATCCCAATTGCAAATCATTCTTTATTTTCAATTATCTTGGTCGACCAAGCGGCGCATGTAAGTTTCGTTACTTAACAGGCGAAGAATTGCAAGCAGCCCATACATATATTTTACTGAACTGTCCAAAAGTGGAGCCATACTTCGAGTAAGTGTACATTTGCAAATATATGTATTGTGTGTCAAACATTTGTTAATATATAAATGGTATTTGCTAATAGGATTTTTCAAACTCCAATATATGAACTACCACCAAGTGAGTTTGACCGTTTGTGCGATAAAGAATTTGCAGCATGGTTCAAAACATATGTAAGTTGCCTATGGACCAAAACCAAGTTATTAATATTTTATACATAATTTATTAAAATATATATTATTGACTTTGCGACTGTGACCTTAGGTTCACAGTAATCATGATCAAGTTGAAGAGCAAGGATTGCTATATCATCTATCATGGGGTCCAAAGTCAAGAGTACGAAGCTAGCCAGCATATTTCATAAACGGATATAATTTTCACACTCAAGAATATGGAATGGGAAAAGCCACAATAAATAGTGGTGTGTGTGTTTGGTCATCCAATGGTAACAGTTCAAAAGATAATTTTTATGGCTTGTTGGATGAAATCATAGAGATAGAGTACCATGGACCATTAATGCGGGTTGTATTATTTAAGTGCATGTGGTTCGACCCCGTCAAAGGAATGAATGTGCATACGAAGTTTAATTTGGTTGAAATAAATCACAAGAAAAGATATATGAAATATGAACCATTTGTCTTGGCACAACAAGTAATTCAAGTATATTATGCATCATATCCTAGTTTGAAACGTGACAAAACTGATTGGTGGGCTGTATATAAAACCAAAGCACAAAGAAAACTCGAGGGACATTGAAAGGATACAGCATATCAACAAGAGGAAGTCTGTAATGCGGTTGAAACTAAAGAATATAACATTCCAACTTTACGAGATCCATGTGGAGCAATGGTAGATGTGGATGCAACTGAAATTTGCGAATCAAATCTAGAAGGTGTTGTAGAATCTGATTTTGAGACAGAGGATGAAGATGAAGATCAAGACGAAAACGAAAGTGAAGATGAAGATGAAGATGAAGATGAAGACGAAGACAAAGACGAAGACGAAAATAAAAGGTAAAGATGAAGATTATGATTTTTTAGACTTTTTATTAATTATTTGTAATTATTATTATTATTGCGACATGTGTGTTATTGTTGTTATCATAATTATTGTTGTTGTTATTATTATTATTATTATTATCATTGTTATTGTTATTATTATTATTTATTTGATGAATTGTTAATATGAAAGGTCGTTGCTAATTTCGTCGCTAATTGGCGACAAACATAATTTCGTCGCAAAATTAGCAACGACATTGGCGACAATTTTTATTTGCTTAATTTTTAATATAATAGGTCGTCTCTAATTTCGTCGCTAATTTGCGTCGTCGCTAATTTCGTCACAAAATTACACTACAAAAAAACCAAGGATTTAGCCATGGAAATAGCGAAGAATGCCAATTCGTTGCTAATATGCGACGGAAATAGCAACGAACGCGACTATTTTTATAGTTCGTTGCTAATTTCGTCGCTAATTTGCGACAAAAATAGTGACGAAAGTAACTTTCGCGGCACATTCCCGACTATTTTATTTTCGTCGCTAATTCCGTCGGTAATTAACGACGGATTTAGCGACGAAATTAACTTTTGCTACTGTTTTTAAAATCCATCCCTAAATCCGTCTGTAATTAGCGACGAATTTTAATTTGTCGCTAATTAGCAACGAAATGAACTTAAAAATAATATTTGTGAAATCCGTCGCTAATTAGCGATGAATTTAACTTAAAAATACTATTTGTGAAATCCGTCACTAAATCCGTCGCTAATTAGGGACGGATTTAACTTTCGCGGCACACGCGCTACTTTTTTAAAATCCGTTGCTAATTAGCGATGGATTGAACTTAAAAATACTATTTGTGAAATCCGTCACTAAATCTGTTGTTAATTAGCGACGAATTTAGCGACGGATTGAACTTAAAAATAGTATTTGTGAAATCCATCACTAAATCCATCGCTAATTAGCGACGAATTTTAATCCGTCGCTAATTAGCGACGGATTTAACTTTCGCGGCACACGAGCTACTTTTTAAAAACCCGTCGCTAATTACAATCCATCGCTAATTAGCGATAGAATTAGCGACGGAATTAAACTTTTGCGAAAATCCGTCGCTAATTTCCGAAACGGCGTCGTCTTGATTTGGGGTACAATTAGGGCTTTCTCTCGCCGTTCTCTCTCTGTCGATCGATTCTTGTTCTCTCTCTCTCTCTCTCTCATTGGTTCCTCTGACGATTTGGCGTTCTCTTTCTTCAGATTTGGCGTTCTTTAGCGCGATTTTTTGTTTGAGACAGGAACCCCTTCGGCGGACGCTCGTCCGAGAGGAACCTGAAGCGCTTGCGGACCGTCACCGTCGCGGACCGTCGCCGTTATCCGAGAGTTTCGGATCTAAGGAGGACCGTCGCCATCGTCCGAGAGTTTTTCGGATCTGAGGAGGTACGTGTTCGGGTGAATTTTTGGCACTTTTTGTTTCGGATTGTTCAGTGTCGGTTTGCTTGCTGTTGTTCTGTTCTGTTCGGTTTTGGATTGGATTGGGTGGGTCTGTTGTTCGCATTGTTCGGTTTCGGATTGGATTGGGTGCTGTTCGGGTTGTTCGGTTTCGGTTTCGATTTTAGTTTGTTTGCTGCTGTTCTGTTCTGTTCTGTTCTGTTCTGTTCTATTCTGTTCTGTTCGGTTTCGGATTGGATTGGGTGGGTCTGCTGTTCGGATTGTTCGGTTTCGGTTTGTTTGCTGTTGTTCTGTTCTGTTCGGTTTCGATTTAAGCCAAGTACCTAATTGATGAACTCGGCACTTAGATTGGCGAACTCAGAATGGGCTGAAATTTGGTCGGCTGTGTGGAAACGAGCCGCTGATTAATACTCATTGCTTTGCAGTGATGAATGTCATTTTTTAGCGTTTTGGAGTCGTTTAGATAGGTTTCCGAGCATAAATACATCCTGTTTACTGCAATTTTTTTTTCCGAGCACAAATACATTCTGCTGATTGTTCTTTATGTTTATATTAGATAAAGAATGCTCGTCATCCTTAAAATCTGCTGATGGTAAGCTCACCATGTTCTATAATGGGTTCATCAGTTCGTTCGGACAAATAGCAAATAGCATGTTGCTACTGTTTGTCTGTGCTGTTTTTTTCATTACTTGCCTTGTGGTGGAAGAAGGGTGGAAGAAGGGACTCAGTATGAATGTTTTATTTTTCTAACTGGTTTAAACTTGTAGCATTCGGACTCTCATTAACACATTGAATTCTAGGGAGAAATAAGTTCCTGCTCTTTACCCTTGTTCTTCAAAGTATTTGTTTCTGTTGATATGGGTGGCATCCTCCTATGTGAACTGGTCGATCTTTTGTCATTTCTCAGTTTTTTCCATTTTTTCATGCAGGTGGGTAGATGAAGTCATTCCTGATGCTCCATGGGTGATCACACCAGAGTTCCTGGACAAGCACCAAATCGACTATATTGCACACGACTCTCTTCCGTAAGGTTAATCAGCCCAAGTAGATGTTGTTGATTGCTAGAAACTTGTCTGGACGAATCTCGCACCCGTGAAGTGTTCAATTCTTGTTTTTCTTTAGTCGTTCACTTCTTTCCCCATCTAATGGGACTCCCCCATCAATGTAGATGCATGATATCCTTATTAGTAATGGCTATGCAGTTCCTGCTAAGATTTTCTGTGCTAAGTTCTCTGTCAAATATTTGAATATGCCATGAACCTAGTTTTCACAGAATTTTTGTACATCCAGTTCTTCTAATGATTAACTTCTAATTCCTTGAAAGCCTGATTATCTTAAACGGTTAGGAATATCAATTGTAACTTCCCTAACAACTATTTGTTTTTTTTTCCAAGATGAATAGGTTTTTTTCTACTTTGAATCGGTCAAATGTGATTTCTGAGTTTCGCCATGTGAAGTCATGTACTACTTAATGGATGCCTCAATCTCAGAATCATGCTATAGGATCAGAGGGGTGAAGCAGACAATATGTTCTTTTGACATCCTATAATTTTCAAGGGTGAATGTGAGATTGTGTTGAAACTTTTGTAGGTTGCATCTGATATCAATCCATGAGACCATAAAAACTCCGCCCGTGAGTTGAAATTAGTGTTGAACTCAAGAAGCGGATTTCCTATCTACAGTGATCATGAGATTTGTTCATCTCAGTAGGTATCAATCTATGAATGTGAGATGCTAATTCAAGTTTGCAGATTTTTCAGTCTAACTCACAGCAATTCCCTTCAATTTGAACAACTTGGACTGCACGATGAGCATTGCAAGTTGTGGAACATAGTGACCTGGTAAGAGTGAAATTAGATAGATGTTTAAATTCTGCATTCATTGAGCTTCCAATTCATTAAAAATATATTGAAATTTGCAAGGAAAAGAACCTGTCATTCTTCCTACATAGTAATCACCAAAAAGTGCTTCACTTCACTAGCTTTTTTAATGTTTTTGTAGACAGGGGTAACAACTGTTATTTGTGGCAAAAAAGATCTAAAGAAGCTCGTAGACATTTCCGGACAGCTTGCTATTTATCTGGACGCTATAGCAAGTTTGTTTCGTTTTCTCAAATTTATCTCTTGCTCTTTGAAACAAAATGGTAAGCTTCATGATGTACGTCATTATGTGTTCATGTTTTTTAAGATATTTGTCTAACCTTCCTATTTGTCAGTATAAACGTGGAGGTCACATGCATGGTGTAGTTTCACAAAGAAGAGCAGCGCCTTCCCCTTCCTCGTCCTCATCCCCGTCCCTTTCCTCTTCTCCTGCCATTTCATGTTTCCCTCAACCACTACATGCTGATGGACAACATGGACACATTGGCCCTTCCTCCGACCCCCAAGAACATATTAGGGGGCAAATTGGAAACATGCGAATTGAATCTACTTCAGTTCCATGTCCTTCGGTTCCACCTTCTTCTTCAGTGCAACACTCGAATGATGAGGGAAACACAAGTGAAGAAGATAGTCGATTCATGATATGCCTATTTGGAGATTCAGAAGTACTTCATTTTTTTTAATTATGTGTTATTTAGGTTTTTAGATTTTAGTCAACTGAATTGTCCATGTTGCAAATTATTCGTATGCTTCATTGTTTCATTGTCCATATCATTCTTTCTAACCTGTTTGCAGATTCATGGATGTTACGTATGTTGTGAGGCAACTTAATAAAATAGTCAATAACTCTTGGAGGGTGCAGTATATTAGTTATAGCAGCGCTCCGAAAGAAGTAAAGGGTTTGTGGTGGAATAAGTTCAAGGTAAGTTTTGTTCTTGTAGGTGTTTCTCGTGGCCGTGTTAGGGAAGTCCCCCATTAAGTAGTAATGGATATGAACTTCAGAAAATCCATTACTGAATTGTCTAGTGCATGGTAATGGCCATGTGACCCTCATAATAACTCTAAGTTATTTTTCTATTGATGTAGCGGAAGTTCAGGTGGGATGAAATGGAAGAGGATGAAGTTAAAAGAATTTTTAAGAAGAAAGCTGGTGATCATATACGAAATGTGATGAATAAAGCAAAGATAAGTCAAGTAAAGCCAGATTTTATTATGGGTAACAATTGGACCGAAATTAAGAGAACTTGGGAAACTAAAAAGAATAAGCAAATGAGTGAACAGAATAAGAATAATCGAGCTTCTAGTTCTAGTGAAGGGTCTGCCACATGCTGGGGGTTTTATCAACATCGGGGAGCATAGAAAAAGAATGGTAAGTCTGTTGAACATGTTGTAAGTTAATTTAATTCAATTACTCATTTATGTTTATATTTTGTAGGCAGATGAATTGGGGACGGAACCGACATATATAGCTACATTTGAACGCACATTTCAAAAAAAAAGATAAGACATGGACTGGCGATCGAGCAAAAGCTATTAAGGTATGTAAGTTTATGGAAACTAGAGTGAAAATCATGAATGTTTTTAATATTTATTGTAGTTATATATAGGGAAATTTTCAAAATGGGGTCCAAAGTGAGCCCATTTTCTCAAAATGGGGTTCCAAGTGCAATCAGTCTCAAAATGGGGTCCCAAGTGCCCGATCAGTCTCAATTTGGTACTTGGGTTCGCCGGCCGGCCAAATAGTCACCGGCGGCGAGTTTTTTACTCTTCTGGTGGCCGGAACAGTAATTTTTTACTTTAAAATTTTTTTTTTTGCTTTTTTTTTCTCTTCCCTCCGCTGGCCCCGGCTATGGCCGGCAGAGGCGGCCCTCGCCAACGTCGGGGAGGGCTGCCCTAGTGAGGGCTGCCCAGCCTTCCCTGACGGCCCTCGCCTGACGCCGCAGGCGAGGGTTGCCCTCGCCGACGTCAGGGAAGGCTGGGCGGTCGAGGGCCGCCCTCGCCTCGACTGGGCGGGCGAGGGCGACCCTTGCCCTTGCCGACGTCGGGGAAGGTTGGGCGGCCCTCACCCGACGCTGGCGAGGGCGACCCTCGCCAGATCCCACTCAGCCTCCTCAGCTCCTCCTCCGACAACCTCAGCTCCGCTAGCGTGGGCGTCGTGGCCCCCTTCTCTTCCCACCTCCTCTCCCTCTCCAGTTCCCTCTCCTTCCTCACCTTTCGCCTCAGCTCGCCGTACCTCTCCACGAAGCTGCCCGAGCCGGGCTCGGGGACGGGGTTCTCAGGCGTGCTCTAGCTTGTGTCGATCGTGTGGCCGACGCAGTGCCCTCGCCGGATCTAGCGAGGGTCGCCCTCGCCGGCGTCGGGCGAGGGCCACCCAGCCTTCCCCGACGTCAGCAAGGGTCGGCCCTCGCCCGCCCAGCCGAGGCGAGGGCGGCCCTCACCCGACGCCGGCGAGGGTCGCCCTCGCCTGCCCAGGCGAGGGTTGCCCTCGCCGGGGCGGCCCTCCCCGACGCTGGCGAGGGCAGTCTCAGCCGGCCATAGAGAAAAGAAAAAAGCAAAAAAAAATTTGAAAGTAAAAAATTACCGATCCAGCCACCGGAACAGTAAAAAAACTCGCCGCCGATGACTATTTGGTCGGCGGGCGAACCCAGGTACCAAATTGAGACTGCTTGGGCACTTTGGGTACCAAATTGAGACTGATTGGGCACTTGGGACCCCATTTTGAGACTGATTGCACTTGGGACCCCATTTTGAGAAAATGGGCTCACTTTGGGCCCAAATTGAAAATTTCCCTTATATATATGAAGTTGTTTTATTTTCATATATATTGTTAATGCAGGAAAAATATGATGAACTTTTAATGAGCAGTGGTAGTGGTAGTGGTAGTGGTGGTGATGGTGTTGCTGCGTTTGAGCCATCAGTTGACAGTATGGCATTATGGGCGGAGGCATCGGGTGGGATGAAAAAAGGAAAAATATTTGGGCCATCCTTGTCAAGGGTATACACAACGCAGGCTGCTGCAACTTCATCCTCTAATGCGGCTGTTTCAAGGAAGACACGACTTGAGGAGCAAATGACCCAAGAATTGAGCCAACTGAAACATTTACTTGTAGAGAAGGACGAAGAAATAAGAGTGGTCAAATAACAAATGCAATTGATCTTGCGACATCTCAACCTCGATCATGATGAGGTTCCTTCTATATCTCCGACTAATCTAATAGGTGATGGGCACAATGATGAGCGACATGATGATGATGACATTGCTGATGATGATGATGATTTTCTCGATCCTTAGTCCTTGCTAGTTAAATTTTCCATTTTTAAGCACTAAATTTTGAGCACTATGTATTTCATCATCATATCATTATGTATTTAAGCACTAAATTTTGATGTTATTAAGTGCTTAATCATTATTAAATATAAATTCTAGAAATTAATTTTGCTTTTAATTATATTTAAATTCGAAATCGTCCCTAAACAACATTCGTCGTTGACTTCGTCGCTAAAGAATTAATAAAAATTCGTCGCTAAATTCGTTCCGGAACAATGTTCGTGGCAAGAGTAAAAAAATTTCGTGGCAAATTAGCGACGAATTTTACGACGAAAAATTAGCGACGAATTTTGCCACGAATAATTAGCGACGAATTTTGCAACGAAATATTAATAACGAATTTTTTCACGAATAAATTTCGTGGCTAATTAGCAACGAATTTTGCGACGAATAATTAGCGACGAATTTTGCGACCAATATTTTTCGTCGCAATTTAGCGACAAAAATTGAAATTTTTCGTCACTAAATTTTGCGACGCCGAATTGGCGACGAAATTTTTTTCTTCGCAAATTCGTTTAGCAACGAATTTTTCCATTTTTTTCGTGACAAAATTCGTCGCTAAAACTTACTTTTTTTTGTAGTGACACATTACTCACTCCTCCCCTTCTCCCCCGTTAGAGCTATCATTATTTGGTGACCTTTTTATCCGTTTGAAATAGTCGGTCTTGGTGATTAAAGAAACACGGATCCTCGTTAAATTAAGATTAAAATTAATGATTGTAAAAGTAGAAGTTTCATTGATATAGAGAATCGGGTGTAATTGTGTGTTTGCACGAGCTAAGCTAAGAAAGCGTCCTATATAGCCGGCGCATTCCGGGTCATCAAGAAGCAAGGAAATGTTTAATATTTCAAACACTAATATTTAATTTAATGAGAAATGAGTATTTCAGGAAAATGTGATTGACCAGTTATTATTCGCACAAAATACTTACTATAGTTCCAGGAAGATGAGACTTAAGCCTTGGAAATATGCTGAGAAACGACCAGTTCTTAAGGCCGTCCGTGACCATAAATGATATATTCCCAGCAAAACAGTGCACTAGTGCTTTTGAGTTTTGACGTAACGTTCTTGTTTTGCATACAAATATTACTCAAATCTCTTGCGTCGAGTGCTAATTGCTCAACAGTCACTATTATTCCCTCCTTAACGCTTCGATATTAGTCTGCTTTGCTTCTCCAGGGTCACACGCACGACTTTGATGGCAATGGCTGATGAAGTGACCTTCCTGGACAAATGGCTGAGCATGGTCGGGATGAGGTGCCGAATAGCGCTGGCTGAGAAAGGGGTCGAGTACGAGTACAAGGAGGAGGACGTGGGGAGCAAGAGCGAGCTCCTCCAGATGAATCCTGTCCACAAGAAAATCCCCGTCCTCATCCACAACGGCAAGCCTGTGTGCAGAGTTGCTCGTCATTGTGGAGTACATCGATGAGACCTGGACTGATTTCATCGACAAGAAGGTAATTTGTTCCTCTGTTTTTATCTGTGTACATTCGTAATTGATTCTTTGATCCGTGGACATTTCCGTGTTTTTTTTTATATTGGAGCAATCTTTTTTAGCTATTTGGATCTCATGCTGAATGCGAAAAAAGATAATCTGATCTCGCATATGGCTCGGTGCTTAAATTGTCATCTTCAACTCACCGTCATTTAGTCTTTGTATTGCTTTCATTATACATGTACTGAAATTAACAAATACGAACTGTAAGCAAAATGTCACCCTCTACATGAACTAGATGGTTGGACATCCGAATTCTTGTAATAACTAATAAGTTCGACAAATGTTGGAAGTTGGTGACGTTGCACAAATTATAATGAAGCACGAAGTACTAATACTAATAGTTAGCTCGTGATGAATCTATGATCCTTTCTGATCCGGTACCGGTCAACAATTTTGCAGTTCAATGATTCTGGGAAAGAGGTGTTGTTGATGAAAGGGAAAGAACAGGAGGCGGCGAAGAAGGAATTCATCGAAAGCCTGAAAATAGTAGAAAGTGAGCTCGGAGACAAGCCCTTTTTTGGGGGCAAGAAGTTCGGGTTCTTGGACATATCGTTCATCGGCTTCTACAGCCATTTCTACTCCTATGAGATGTGTGGGAACTTCAGCATCGAAGTGGAGTGTCCCAAGCTTGTTGCATGGAGCGTGTCCAAATCTCTCCCAGACCCTCGAAAGGTGTATGGCTTTATCTTGGAGCACAAGAAAGCGATGGGCATAGAGTAGAGTATTGTGCTTCTGTTGTTGCTAGACCCCGATTTCTTCCCTGTGTGTGGCCGTCAGAATTTGCTATACTTGTTAGTGATCCCGTTGTACTTGTAACGGGCTTCTTTGTTTTCTTGAAGTTCTATAATCTGAGAGGACACTTCGTTGCGTTTTCTCTTCATCTTGTACTACTAGGTGATCATGTCGCATAGAAGTCAGGCAGACTAGCTCATGTCACGCTGAGGTAGTAATTTTAGGGTTAAGGAAAGGTTCGGCTCTGGTCATTGTCGCGACCTAAAAAAAATTGGGTTTTCCGATCTTAGGCTAATGGATTACTAGATCAATTAAATTAACTAACCTAGCTCGAGTTCTCCCAAACTCTACCAATTCGCAACTTAGGTCCAATTATGAGCATGCAAATATTTTCAATGGGAGTCGCCACTAATCATTTAAGGTAGGTTGATTAGAAACCTAAATAAAATAGCGGGAGTACTATTTTATTTCTGCGAACCAGAAATTATGGATTCGGGGACTTGGTTACGCTAGATTCCCTAACGCCCTTTCGGTACCAATTTCAAGAAAAATACTTAATTTGACAATTTTGATAAATCCTGACTTAGAGTTCAAAGGTGCAGAAATTTTCTTTTTTGATTTTCTTTTATTTATTTAAATGAAAGCTAACCTATATGTAATGGCGTGCAAAAAATTGACATGCGATTAATGCAACCTAACATGCAAACTATATGCCATGCGACGACGTGACCTATTTCTAATGATGGGCATATTATTTTTTGTATTTTTTTCTTTAATGAAATTCGGAATTAAAAATGCCAATTATCTAAACATGCAATTTTAAACTAAAGAAATTAACCTATTCTAGAGTGATATTTTTGGCATTTTTTTTTATCAAAATTCGAAATTAAAATCAAGTAAAAAAATATATATAACCGCTAAATGTTTCGAATTAAGTTTCGATCTGAAGCCTGACAGATCGATCCTAAAATTCGAAATACCCGTTATGGAAATAACTCTATCTAAAACCTAATAGATAGATTTATTTCCACGTGTGCGGTTGCGGATTAGTAAATTTTCCTAATCGATCACATCTTGAAAAAATTTAGATATCTTAAATATCTTGGATATATTCAAAAGATTTTGAAAATTCTAAATTCTATCCAAATTTGAAAAGTAATAGATATCCAAGATTTCAAAAAAATAAATAAATCCTAATTGGAATAATGCTTATTATCCAAATATGCAAAATTAGATATCAATAAGCACAAATTAGGCAACCAAATATTCGAATCAAATCGGGATATGATAATTACCTGATTTGCAGATTTCTTTCCTAATTTGAATCTGCAGCGGATCGGGATTGCAGATCGGAACGGGGTGGCCAGCGAATGACGGTGGCGGCGACGGCGACGGCGTCCGAACCGGCTCAGCTCGTGGTGGTGGTGGAGCGAGGACCGGCGGTCAGGGGCTCAACTGGCCGCGACGCCAAGGACAGTGGCACCTTGGCTAGGCTCCAGGCTCACGGTTTGCTGGAATGCTTGTTATGAACTCGCTGGGGTGGTTTGCCGAGCCGAGGAACACATTGATCTGGAGTGGAAGCTATCGCCTGGATTTGTCCGACGTGTAGCTACGCTTGTGCTGGACCGTCGACTTGGTTGAACAACAAGCAAACACCGGAGAAATTGGATCAAGCGACGCAAGGTAAGGACCAGAGCCCGCCTATTTACTGATTTTGCTAAAAGAATCGCTGGAACACTGAATCGCAATAGCACGGACTGAATTGGAGTTTTGGAACGTAAGATGCCGCTGATTTGGAGCACAAGAAGCAGCAAGACCCAAGTGATGGCGTTGGTGTCAGTGGTAGACAACGCAACACTGAAGAAAACTCCAACTTTTGACTTTTCCCTGCACTTGCTCTCACTTTGTGAATTTCTGTGTGCGCTTGACCATGTCTAGTGGTGACTAGATTTTATTGCTTCAATGGCGATTTCCCTCGAACGATGGAAGTGTTGGCGCGGCGATGATGGATGGTTGCCAAGCACGGGAGGAACCACCGCGGGAGGAGAGAACTTCTCTTCTTTTTCCGCCGTCAATCTCTCTCTCCAAAAAAATTCTGATCTGGGAATTATGAGAGCCTCCCCTTTGATTATGAGACATAAACATATATTTATAATGTAAACCTAGGTCAATTAGCCGGGCTTTCTAGTCCTAATGGGCTTAGGTTTAGGCTTTAATTTAATTCTAAATGGACTGAATTAATTTGGGCTTTTCTTTAATTAAGCATAATGGGCTAATTTAAGCTCAAATTAAGACAACCAAGCCCTTTTGCGTGTGATTTTCGGCCCATGCTTTCCGAGTGAGCCGAGTCTCGCTCGGTGCCCGAGCTCGATTTACGTGATGAATTTTAAGCTCGCTTACCACCGCCGATCCGATGTGAAATGCAGTTAATCTATATGAACCTAAACTTTATGCTATGCGATCTGTAATATTTTTGTTTAAGGGTTAAAATTTAATCCCTAATTTTTTATGCAATTAACCACTAAATGATGCGCCAAAATTTAGGTGTCAACAGCTGCCCCTCTTTGAGTGGAGGCTCGCAAAGGTTTCGCTCAAAGACTGAGACCTAAATTTAAACTATGCAAAATGATGAATGATTTTTTTTTTAATGCAATGATGCATGATATGCAAACAATAAAGAATGTATGCTAAGGCTTCTCACTTCGTGTAGAGCGGTGAAAGAGCCTTACATACGGATCGCACAAAAAACGTCCAAGTGAGGGAAAGATTTATAATGCTTTGACTTCCCTCGATCTCCAAACTTCTGGTCCACTGGAAGTAAGGTTCTCGAGGTACTGGATTGCCTATCTGTTACCTGTAGTTTCCTATAGATGCAAAATAGCGCATG